CCGCGAAGATCCCACATGCCGCGGAGCGGCTGGGCCCGTGAGCCATGGCCGCTGAGCCTGCGCGTCCGGAGCCTGTGCTCCACAACGAGAGAGGCCACAACAGTGAGAGGCCCGCGTAGCGCAAAAAAAAAAAAAAAAAAAAAAAAAAAAAAAAGAAGTAATTTGCGTTGAAACGCTGCTATTTCTCTTGTACTGTCTTTACCCTTTCCCCTCTTATCTTGCTCCTCAAGATATCTCATACGGCCTGAGGAAATGTGGGTGGAGGGAAAGCATTGACACCTGCCTCCCAAGAAGCCTTCTTAAGCTTCATTGCAGGGCACATTGGTAGAGAAGTTGCTATAACATGTCTGAGCTGTGTGTGCAGACAATGGAAAACACAGCGGGGTTGGAGTGAAAAGACCCGGCTGTAAGTCCTGGCTTTGCCTTGAAGCTGCTGTGTGCCTCTGGGAGAATCCTGAAAAATCTTATCATCAGATCTCCCATCTGAAAAATGGGAATCATAATTCTCACTTCCCTGGGTTGTTTTGCAGATTAAATGAGACGATGTTCTGTGAAAGTCCTCTAACTCTTAAAGCCAGAATATGGGCATTTATTCACATCTGTTACCACTACTCTTTTTTTTGGCCTTTTTTTTTTCTTTTTAGGCTGAACCAGAGGTGAGGAACAATAACAACAATTGCAACAGCAGCAGTCGCATTAACTATCTACTCTGTGCCAGTTTCTGTGCTATGGGCTTTGCATATGATCAGTTCTTAGACAAGAAAAATCCTGTGATGTAGATATAATCTTTATTTTACAGATGTGGAAATGAAGGCCCAGAGAGGTTAATTAATTTACTCAAGGTCACACAGCCTGTAAGTGATAGAGCCTGGTTTCGAACCTAGGTCTATCCAACTCCGAAGTCCCCGTTCTTACCTACAGGGCAGTAAAGGCCCCTTCAGAAATCTGATCTAAATTCAATCATACTTGCCTCCCCTGAATCAGAGTGTGGTCTCGATTTTGATGCTGTTTCACCAGAGTTCTGAAAAAACTAGTAGTGAATTTAACCCTGTGAGATAATTAAATATCACTCGAGCAAAAAAAAAAAAAAAAAGACTAGAAAAGTTTTCCCAATTTAGTTAGTTTTCTCTAGCCCTTTTTTTATAATAAAAAGAAATAAACTTCCTTAGGACCCAGATGCTTATCTGGTTGGCCATTTCAAGAAAAAATGTTTTCTAGCTGCAGAGTAGATATTTACAAGCAGCACACAGGTGGCACATACTTACATATAACCCTTAAACCTGTTAAGGTGGTCGTTAGGCTTCTCACACACGACGATGTTGTGGAAACCTTCTGGTTGGAACTGTACCTCCTGTGAGAGAGAGGATGCTGTGAGGTTATTAAGTCAGAGGGGTCTCGTTTTAATAGGATCATCAGGAGAGCTAATCACTGTTAGAACCATTGTAAATAAGGTAATCCCCGCTTTGCCACACTGTGATAGTTGTAATGTGTTAAAAGAAACAGTTAAATCCTCATTAAGGAGGAGAGAATAGATGCAGATGAAAAGTTGAATGCACTGCAAAGGGAGGGCCCTGTCATGACCACTTTTCCCCAGCTTGGGTTTGAGTCTCTAGACTCAAGCTGCCCTACAGAATTTACTGCAATGATGGAAATGTTCTATGTCCGCACTGTATAATGTAGAAGCCACGCATTGCATGCGGCTGTTGAAATGTGGTAGTATGACTGAGGAACTGATTTTTAAATTTTATTTAATTTCACTTAACTAATTAAAGTTAAATAGTCACATGGCGGCTAGTGGCTACTAAACTGGGCAGCATAGAAATAGATAATCAAAAAAGTAGAGATTATAAATCACACGACCTATAGCTAGCCAATATTCGTGTGTATACAGAACTTCCAGGCTTTAAAAAATATATGCATACACCTACATACACATTTATGAATGGACAAACATCCACATTTATGCATTTCAACAATGAGATTTAGTGTTCACACAACTTGAGCATTTTTACATATTACCTGGATAGATACCTATTGCATGAATGTCGCCCTATTTCATTTAATCCTCTCACTACTGAACATTGACATGGTTTCAATTGTTTGGCTATTGCAAAAATGCTGTGAAAATAGTAGCTAATAAAACAAAATAAGTAGGGACTTCCCTGGTGGCACAGTGCTTGGGAGTCCGCCTGCTGGTGTGGGGGACATGGGCTAGGGCCCTGGTCTGGGAGGATCCCGTGTGCCACAGAGCATCTGAGCCTGTGCACCACAACTACTGAGCCTGTGCTCTGGAGCCTGTGAGCCACAACTACTGAGCCCGTGAGCCACAACTACTGAAGCCCACACGCCTGGGGCCTGTGCTCTGCAGCAAAGAGAAGCCACCGCAATGGGAAGCCCGTGCACTACAACAAAGAGTAGCCCCCGCTCGCTGCAACTAGAGAAAGCCCACGTGCATCCACAAGACCCAATGAGAGCCAAAAATAAATAAATTTAAAAAATTCTCAAAAAACAAACAAACAAAAAAACACAAAACAAGTAGCATTTACTAGACTCTTATTTCTGTCAGATGCTGCAATGAGAACTTAAGAAATGCTATTTTTTTTCAAGCTTTCAATCATTTTATGAAGTAAGTACTTTGATTAGCCCCTCTTTAGAGATGGGAAAACTGTTACTCACAACGGTTAAGTGGCTGTCCGTGGTCATATCAAGACTGGGATTTGAATTCAAGTCTGAGTGCAGACCCTCTGTTCTTGCACAGCACACTGCCCCCTAGTGAACATTCTTATAGCAAAGCATTTAAAACACATTCTTGACTCTTCACTTTTTCTCTTTCATTCAGTATTTTAGTTGTACAATCTCTTTAAGTTCAATGAGGGGGAAAACACAACTAGGGGTGGGGAGATCTTGCTTTCCAATTCTACCCCACATTGGCTAATAGTACGTTCAACTCTTGAGCCTCAGTTTTCTCCTCTGTAGAATGGGGCTAACACCGCCTCCCTGTCCACCTCACTTGCACCCCAGAAGACAGAATCCATGTGGGAAAGTTTTGAAAGGCATAACATGCTATGCATATAGAACAAAGCAGTACTAAAGGTGGGATTGGAAGCGGTTCCCAGGGTAGAGCTTTTAGCACGGGGAGTGAATTTATCACTCCAAGCTTCAAGGTACAGCTGTTCAAAGGAGTAAATTGATTAGAAGAAATGATAGCATTTTCTGGCTTCGTGTAAATATACTGTCCATCGGTCCTGTGGGGCGCCAACATAAACTCTCCATTCACTTGAAATAAATTACCCATCCAGGAGTTTCTAAAAATACAGCCCTTTTCCGTGCAAGTATTGATTCTTTCAGGGACAAACACTTGCCGAGTTCTGAGATGATGACAAATCACGCTGTAATTTGTCAGCTGCTTTCACGGCCCTGATTAAGCTGTGTGCTTCCCTCCTGATCTGTACCACTCAGCTCATTGCTAGCTTTCTAAATCCAAACTTATTTCAGATGTGAGTGGCAGCAGGGTCTGAGCGCTAATGATCCTGCTGCAGTGAGTCCCTGTCAGCTGTTTAATCATACCTGGCGGATCCCTGGCAGTGCTCAAGCCTCTTGTCCCTCAGTGGGGCTTCCCAATGACCTTCCTCTTGAAGCATCCCTTGCTCTTTTATTCTTCTGGGCACTGGCCTTGGGTGCTCTGTCTCCCTCTCTACACGGAGAGGTGATTTCGCCCTTTCTAGCTCTCTGTCCTCGGGCCCCTTCTGTTCCTCCCCGAGATAGACTGTGGAGAGGGCCACACGGCCCTGCTGTCTCTAGAGAACCCATCAGCATTGCTTGCTTTTTAGGCTTTCCTGTAACTCACTCTAGGGAGCTGCTAGGAGAACTCAAGGACAGCAGTGGCGGGGGCATTGCCAAGCCCTACAAATCTGTCAGGGTCCTTATTTTTTACCTTGTTCAGGAATTTCTGATTCACTTCTGACTCACTGCCCCTTAGCTTTTCTTAGCTTGGAGATGAAGCCCACCTAACCACCTTTTCTTTCTGACCCAGCCTTTTATCTAAGGTGTTGTCCTTATGAAAGGAACAGCCATCAGGGTACAGGAAAAGGCAAACCCTTTCCAGAGAGCACAGTGTGTTTGTGGTTCTTCGGGCCAGACCTACTGATCTGGAGTATTTACTATGTGCCGGGCACCTGTCATTAAGTTCTCACAGTAACCTTAAGAGGTGTGGACAGAAGTGCAAATGCAGATTCAATAAAGCAATTGTCTTATGGTTGGTAAGTAACAGAGCCAGCAATGCAATCCACATCATCAGACTCCAAAACCAATCATCAATCATTATTTTCACTGTCATTGTTATCATCGTCATCATCATCAATACATTTATTCCACTTTCTCCTCTCATTATTATTATTATTACAGTACTTACTGAATGCTTATTGTGTGTCAAGTATAACTAAATATTTTATACATGCTATTCTCTTGAATTCACACAATAACTCCATCAGGTAGGTACTATTATTACCCTATTTTACAAATGAAGGAACTAAGGCTTAGAGAGATTCAGTGAATTTTCCCAATGGTGCACAGCTAGCAAAGCAGAAGACAGGCTTTAACCTCAGGACGTCTGACGCCACACAGCCTGCTCTCTTAAACCACAGTGTTATTTTTTTTTTTATTAAAAAATATTTTTTTGCGGTATGCGGGCCTCTCACTGTTGTGGCCTCTCCCGCTGCAGAGCACAGGCTCCGGACGCGCAGGCTCAGCGGCCATGGCTCACGGGCCCAGCTGCTCCGCAGCATGTGGGATCTTCCCGGACCGGGGTACACACCCGTGTCCCCTGCATCGGCCAGCGGACTCCCAACCACTGCGCCACCAGGGAAGCCCCACAGTGTTATTTTGATGCACAATGAAAGATTATTGTTTAAGATCTCCTTTTGGCTCTATTTCCTTTTCTATATTCCTTTTCCACTTCCTATGACCGAAGTACAATAAATGAGGTCTGTATATAGTTGACCCTTGAACAACATGGGTTTGAACTGTGTGGATCCACTTATGCAGGTTTTTTCAATAGTGAATACTACAGTGCTACCCGATCTGTGGTCGGTTGAGTTGGTAGATGTGGAACTGCGAGTACAGAGGACTGACTATAAATTATATGTGGATTTTCCACTGTGTGGATGGTTAGCATCCCTGACCCCAGTGTTATTCAAGGGTCAACTGTATGTGGAATCTAAATTTAAAGAAAAAAGCTTATTGCCAGAGGCAGGGAGTTGTGGGTGGGTGAAATGGGTGAAGGGGGTCAAAAGTTACAAACTTCCAGTTGAAAAATAAATAAGTCAAGGAATATAACATAAGCATGGCAACAATGTTTAATAATACTGCATTGCATATTTGAAAATTGCTAAGAGAGTACACCTTAAAAGTTCTGTTCATAAGAAAAAAAAGTAACTATGTATGATGACAGATATTAACTTAGACTTATTGTGATTATTTCACAATATATACAAATATAAAATCATTATGTTAGACACCTAGAACTAATATAATGTTATATGTCACTTGTATCTCAATAAAAAATGTAAGCAAACCCCAGTGTCTAGAAACCATCATCATTATCACCATCACTACCACCCTTCTTAACTTGGGTCAGATAAGGAAGAATCAAAAACTAAATTACATAATATTGTCCTGCTGACCTTTGATTTACTGCTATTAACATTTTTTTATTTCTTTGATTGTTTCTAAAAGATTTGTATTTATGTTTCATGAAAGGTTTTGCAGTGGCTCACTTTCATTTTTTCTAGTGTCTACATAGACATCTGGTTGATTGGCAGCTCAAGGCATTTTTAGACCAGGGTAGCTCAACTTGCCACTCTTGACATTTTGGGCTGGATAATTCTTTGATGTTTAGCAGCATCCCTGGCCTTCACCAACTTGATGCCAGTAGCACCCTCCCCTTCTCCCCCTCAGCTGTGACAGCCAAAAATGTTTACAGACATTTCCAAATGTCCCTTGGGGGAGGGGGAAGAACAAAGAATTGCTCTAGAAAAAGTTCCAAGTTAACAGGAGATGAAGTTGCAGAGATTGAGAATACCCTCTATCCTAACAGTCCATTAGGAAAGGACACAATCCAAATTTTTCTATTTTCTTCTCTTCAGTTGGAAAAAAGTTAGGTTTTATGACTGGGGCTCATAATGACTTGTAATAAGAGAAATCTGTATACACCATTCGTATACCACAGAAACTACTGTATAATCACGGTGGAGGTTCCTGGCAATATATGTACTATCCTACAGTTACAAATAAAAGCGGGGGGCGCTTCTCTGGTGGCACAGTGGTTAAGAATCCGCCTGCCAATGCAGGGGA